ATACTCTGTTAAAATCTCTTAAGAGATTTTAACAAAAAAACAAACTTTTTAGAAAAAAACCAGGGACTAAATTTGAATGTAAAAATGGATTCATTAACCATTGGTAAGTATGGGAAAATTGTTGTTTACTCCAGGAAAATTCATTTTTTGGCCGAAACGAAGAGTTATTATCACTTTAAAAACATCAACATTATTTGCTGCATCCAAAATATTAAATTGCAGACGCTTTCCCTTGCTAAGAATATAAGCCATGGTCTTTTTTTATTTTAGTGATATTAAGTATCTTTGCGTATCTCTGGTAAAATAAGACGACTTGGACTTTTGTTTATTAGTATATATACACAGAAGATTTGTGAAATAGGCCCCCTAGTGATAACGTTTCTAGGTAAACTTTATTGATATGTTATTAATATTAATCAGCCCAGCTCTCAGACATGCTCCACAAGAACGGTTTCATAGAGGACCACGGCAGAGACGTCGTATGTCTCATGGTACACGACGCTGTCCTGATGGCACTGGCGGATGACCTTGACCTACTTAAGAAGGTGAAAGAACGGTTTTCTCGGTTATATTGTAAATGATAACAAATGGTGCGCATAATTACAGTTTTGACAAGTTATCATTTTCGATTGTTAACCTTACTGCCAGTTGTGCAGCTGGCACGCTATGCTATAATCAGCACAAAAAGGTACTTGCAACAGAACCATAAGCCATGTTCTTTTTTTTCTCGTATTTTTAGTAAAGTTACACATGTAAATATTGTAACATGCACGAATTATCGTTCTGTATTCGTTCTATCGTCCACAGAATTTTTTCTGGGGATAAGTATGTGATTTGGAGCATTTTAGCAGTTTTTCATGGCAACTGCAGTTGATGTTGATGAAGTTTCCATTTCTTCACAGTTAGAAGATGACACCCTCATCACCTCCCACTCTCCAGAAATTGAAATGGCAGAGGAAAGCACAAACGATATGGAAGATACGCGGGTAAGTTTTATCTCATGGCAAAAAGTTCTGAATATAAATATACATATGATGTAAATAGGTTACTTTTTGGGGGGTGATAACATCACATATATATATATATATATATATATATATATATATATATATATATATATATATATATATATATTTCACGTGATATCCATTAATATATGCAAATGCATTTCAGGACTGAATTTACTCGCACTAATAACAAAAGGACAAAGGTCTGCAGAGAAAATTTAAACATTTAAGTGTTATTTTACTACATGACGGCGACATGTAGACCCCCTTTCGTCGATGATTATGTGCATTTAAAATTGTTTTCGTCAGGTGTGAAAATATCACCGATTACATGTAGATGTTTTCTTCTCGATTCAGATGTAGAAGTCGCCAGCAGCAATCCAGGAAAACTGCCTCACCAGTACTCTCAAATTCCAAAATGGTGACTCTGCCTTACAAATGTTAAAGGGGACGCTTTCGTGAATTACTTTATTTTCATTGTTATGTTGCGCAAATTTTTATAATTATATAGTGGTCTATTTTATAAATATAGCCACAATAAAAATGTAATAATGATAATAATGATAATAATGATAATACAATTTATTTAAAGACTGAATTCCTTACAAGTTCAGTAGACTTTACAATGATAAAATGCTTAAATGTTTTAGTATAAGAAACACGCTGTAAAACCATCGATAAGACATCAAATTAAAGAGTGCACTTCAAATTACATTAAACGTTTTACACTTAAACAATTTCACCTATAAAGTTTCTTCGAAAGTACATGTAAAACCATAGTTAAGAAATTAAATAAAAAAGTAAATTAAAAATGAAATGAATTGTTAACACCTCACACGATTTCATTTGTAAAGTTCCTTTAAGTTTAAAATAAATGTTTGGAGTTCTTTTTTAAAACCATGTTTTGTCACTATTCGAGAGGCAGTATGTTCTATTCCACTGGAGCCGATACCATAAAAGTCTTGTCACCATAGGTTTTTACTCTGCCAGTTCTTTGTTTTAAAGCGCATTCATAACAACCTTCTTGGAGATCAAATATGGTCCACCCATTTGAATGCTTGTTGCGTAATTCTCGCGGGGAAGCTAGTCGGGAGTTATGCGGCAAGCTTTTTAATGGGTCGCCATATTGGATCCGCTGATCTGTTAGTCCGCTGTTCTCAATGAGCTCCTTATAGCTACTCTTACAACCGGTCGTGCGTGCTTCTACGAGCGGTTTGCGTGCCAAAAATTGGCCAAGTCGTAAGATTCACGCACGTGGAACGTACTTTTTTTGGTGGACGCAAACACGACGCAAAGCCCGCAGCCCGAAAACTGGCCGGCCAGTTTTTCGCTACGACCTGTCTGCGACAATTAGAACGCCTGGAGCACGATCGTAGCACGCAAGACAAAAACACTGAGTAAGTGCGCTAGGCGTGCGTGTAACGCAGGCAAAGCATGCAGAAATTCCGGGGTATTTTACCACGAAGGCGTACTTACCACGCAAGAGACTCGTACGTTCAACTTGCTTTCAATGTACGTGTTAACAAAAAGGGGGGTGAGCGCACTTCCTCCGTGCGTTTATCTTACTTCCAAAGTGCTTGGCGAGTACTATTACCATATTTGTGAAGTGCGTCACACTAAGACGACGCACGTGCCCAGCACGATAAAAGTGCAGGCGATCCCGAGCAACCACTGCCAGCATTGCCTCACGATCTTCGGCCTCCTCTAGCATTAGCAGCTGTAGAAGTCGATGGCGCATCCTTCTTGGAAGTGCCATTTTGGAAGCCAAAACAGTGAATGATGAAGAGACTCGGTGCTCCCTTTTATATTATTTTGATTATCCGTGCGTTCCACTTCCGTGCTCATTACGTTTCTCGTACGTTTCTCTTACTCCGTTAGTACGATTTCTGAAAACGTACGCTTCACTTGCAATACGCGTATGATTATCTCACTCACTGTGTGCGACACAAGTACAGATCGTACGTGCTCCTTACTTCTTCCTACTTCCAAAAAAGGCGTACAGACCATTGCGGGCCCCACGTTTAGAGCACGACACACCTACTCATAAAGTACTTACTAGTTCGTCCGCTGCGATTTAATTTTCATCCTGCGACAACGCTACGTCTGACAAGAACTCCGAGGACGCACGATCTCTAAGCACGCACGACGGGTTGTAAGAGAGGCTTAAAGTAAGTGACGGACGGGAGGGTAGATAAAATGAAACTAGTTCACAAAGATAAGGAGAAAAAAACATATAATCATGAATGTGCGTAGGATAAAGGCTGTACGGACATCGTGTGACAAATGTAATAAAGGTTTTAAACAGGTTTTAAAGAAACGCTGAAGGCACGCCCTTCTCTTTCCTCTTTCCTCTCTTTCCGTAGCAATCATCCCATGTCCCCTCCAGCGCAGGGTTTCTGTCATGCGCATTTTTCATTTATGCGAACGCTGCAATTCCACGCCTCTAACGTAGAGCTCACTAATCAACCAATAGACAACGGTCTAATTCTCGCCCTTCACCCTTTGGGGAACACATGGTTTAACTCGTCCAAACTCCACCCAATCACAAGCAGCTCCCTGACCCACGGCCCATGTTTATAGCGCAACGGTCTTTAACACCATTCAGTCTTTGCGTCCCGATCAGCGAGCAACAGCGTTCTAAACGAAGAAACTACGCTGGCCCGAGAAAGACTCGCTGCTCCACCATACACAGACTGAGAAAGCTGAAGCCGCCAACACCGGCAAACTAGCAGGTACATTAAAATTAATAAAAAAAATGGGGGGGG